AATTACTATGTATATATATATATATATTCGATTTAATATCGATATAGTTTTATACGAAGAATGAAAGCCCACTATTCAAAATATTCGTAATTCTTGTAATTTCTTAGAAATCTTTGAAATAACTAGGAAATTTCAATACATACTGAAATTCCTAGGCAATTGCAATAAACAATGAAATTACTAGGATATTTCAGTGAATGCAGGAGTTATGAAATAACTTTCTATGCTCAGAATGGGTAAAAATGTTTTTTCAGGAAGGTAACGCTATGATTTCAAATAAAATCAGCAACAAGTTTTATATCAAATTAAAGTACCCTAAACATTGAATTTATCAATGGTAAATAGTAAGAATAATGGCAACTTTTAAGTGTTGAATTAAGGAAATTCCTAAAATTTTACGTCATATCATCAAAGAAAAATTTCTTTCACAATCAAGTTTAAAATAAAAAATATTAATAGATAATGTTTACTTTAAGATTTCATGAAAAATAATTAATAATCAGTATGATGATCATTAGCATTTTTACATGGAAAAGATAAGACAGATGCGAACATAAAATAATTAAAAATAGATCAGTGTTTATTTTCATATTTGCCCATTTATATATTTACTGAAATTTCCTAGAATAGCTAGATGGTGCACAGCAATTTGTATTAAATAGTTTGGTATCTTCAAGAGTTCCGTAATGATGCTATCATGGTTTTTTTGGCAGTTTTTGAAAAATCCAAGAGATTTTCTTTAGGCAAAGTATTAATTATCGAAATCATCTAGAAGTAACTTTGTAGTGGATGAGTCATTTTTTGATTCACGTAGATATTTCTTAGTCTTATTTCAAGAAGTTTCGCAAATTTTTTTATCTATATACTATTGCTTAATGACAGATTAGGGTAAATATTATGACATTTCGAAAGTTATCAGTTAATTTCTGTATCTCTTTCTTTGATAAATTCCTTCGGGCTGTCAGAAATTTACTTTTTTTTGGAAATCTGAACATATTTCAAATTAAAATTATTCGGTTTTGTGAAACTCACATCAATTTTTAAGGAAAATAGTGGAGTTTAAGTGTAAACTGAGAGTTTTACTGTTCCCTCTAGGTCATAGCAATCGAGAACAACTGACATGAGATTACTTCCCCCGAGTTCATTAGCAACCGAGTATGGACATAAAAGACAAAGAGTGAATTGTAGCAAAGGAAACAAACAATAAAGCACCTTTATATATTTTGTATTAGTATAATAAGGCTAAAGAAACATAGGACTTTCATATTTTACTGCTAAGGAAGCTGTTCTCACAGGTTTCTTTTTTCATATTCAATTTTGATAAGAAAAAAGTAGTTCGAAGTTTGAAATTTTTCGGATGGTTGATAAAAAAATACCCTCCAAAAAGCAGAGTAAATCTTGCCGTACAACGCGCTGATCCACTGCTGTTGTTTGTTTATTATATTGATTTTTTTCTTCGTTATTAAATTCCGATCGAGATGACGAACGTCGAACCATTTTTGCATAAGACTCTTGATGTATTTTATCATCATTGTTAGTTAATTGTTGATCAAGGGATGAAGATGAACGCTTCATTAATCAATTTTTCATTATCTAAAAATATTTTAAGAAAAATATAGAAGAATAAAAAAATATTCAGATCAAAATAATTTGAATAAAATATTAAATTTAAAGATTAAAAATTTCAATTCGTTTCGGTTCATTCCTATAACTGACAACAATTTTTCGTTGTTGATTATTATTTATTATTAAACATGCACTATGAACATCTTTATCAATTTGTTTTGATATTAAACCCTTGACATACCATAATGAATGTGTTGTTCTTTCTGTTAATAGCCATGTTTCATCATTATCATCAGGTAAAACTAAAAGACGACAACCAAAACTAATTTTATCTATTCCATGTGAAATATTTAATTTTCTACCACGACTAATTAATTGTAGATTAAGATCAAATAAATCAATACGCCAATATTTATCTTGTTGAAGTACAACAATAGCTAATTGATTTTTATTTTCACATATTCGAATCATTCGAATACCTTGATCAAAATCTTCTAAAATTTCTTGAATAGTCCAACGTTTAATTAATTTCCAATTTGGATGTGTTTCTGTTGACCATCGTTCAATATAACCATTACTATCTACATTAAGATAAGCATCATTTGTATTTGATGAAATAGTTATTGACCAAAATGGATGTTCATCAATTGGTTTTATTTCAGATATAATTGTAAAAGTCATTTGTTGAGGATTATAAATAAGAATTGCTTGTCTACAGACAACAAGAAAACAACGATTGAGTGTTTCAGCATAGATTATATCACAGACATTACCAAATCGAATATCAAGTTCAGTTGAACAAAGTTCAATTCCATCCAAAGCATTATAGAGAATAAGACGATTTTCATTGAGATTAATACTTAGAATATAAGCTAATATATGTATATTAGATGCAGCCAGAAAAAAACAATTTCGATTATGTAATGAAATAATTTTTCGTTCGAATAATAATTGTGAATTATTCAAATAGGATACTATAGATTTTTCTTCTTGTTTAAGATTAACTGAATGAGACCAATTGATATTATCGATATGATTTAATTGAAGAACAATGTTAATATTATGAATTTCTTGTTTAAATTTTTCTAACTTAATTGATAATTGTTCGATATCGTTTTCAAAAAAATTATCATTTTCACGTGTTTCAGATAAGACTTTCGTAAATTCATCATATTGTACTTTTATTTCATTCAATTGTCTAGTACATTCAACTCGAACATTATCACGATTTCGTTCGGCAACTTGATGTCTGATAGGAATAAATCAAATTATAGAAATAAATTTTTCCTAAAATGCTAGAAATTTCTCCCATCTTGAATGTACACATCATATAACTAATATGATTTTTTTTTCTATCGATGTATGCAAGATTTTTGTGCATAGGAGTAAGTGTCTCAAGACTGTCCAGATTGGGAAGATCATCCCGTCGCTAGGAACACTCGTGCATAGGAGAATGGGTACATCATTTTGTCAAATACAAACTATCATAGCTATTTTCCACTAGACTGATTACCATATTTTCATTTGAGAATTCTTCACGTCTTTCATCCTTCTTGAAGAACTATCGCAGTATTTTTTTTTCTTTTAACATAAGTTAAATTCATGAGTTGAAAATTTTGTCTACAAGATTTTTATCTATTAGTTTTCACTGAACACATCTCGCAAAAGAAGAACGAGAAGTCAACCGAATAATTGAATCTGAAGTTTTTTTTTTTATGAAGAGTTCTTATGCCTCAGGAAATTTTCAACTAAGCTCGATTTTGGTAGCAAACAACTATTTTTCAGAAAATTCAATATTTCGACAAAGGAACATTCTTTTCGATCGGAAATTTCAGATTTGAATTCCACTATTTGATGTTTTGGTAAATATCTAAAGCTGATTTCGAAAATTCATTAAAATAGTGATAACTCAGGTGCAGAAGCCCACGAGCATGATCACTTTCAAGTTTTTATAGTCTTTTCAAAGTCTTCTTGTTAACTCAATATGAGCTCAAAAGGTCGGTAGCAACCTAAGTAGTTTTCTTCGTCAGTATGTCCTTATGTAATGATGAAATCGATCGAAAATCACTGTTTATTGTTAGTATTCTTTATTGTACTCACACTGATTCATGCATTTTTGTTTCCCATTCATCAATATTTTGTAGAGATTTTTCAATATTTTCATTACTAAAATTCACATTTTTAAATATTGATTCAAATAATTCATCTCGTTGAATAATAACTAAATCAAGTTTTTTTAAAAGTTCTTCTCTATGTTTCATAAGATGCATTAAACAAAATGATAATTGACATCCATGACATGGATGAATTCCCATTTTTGGTTTCGTAATATTTTCGTTTTCACATGTTGAACATATTTTAAATGATGAATTATCCATCTGAAAAATACAAAAAATAAAAAAAATTCTTCATACATGAGATTTTTCTGATAATCACAAAATAAATATTTTTGACATAAGATCGAATAAGTAATCTTTCGTTGGTTTAGCATACAAAATATTCGATTGGAAGAAACATACTAAAATACGTATGTCTCTAGACATAAGATGTCACTACTTCTCACATCGAGTCTGATTCTCTTTCGTTCACTTAACAACTGCATTGATGAAAGTATAGAACTTTAGCTGCAAAAAAACAATGAATTCATGTTGAAATCTTCAAAATTTTTGATATGAGAGATTTTGTAACAAACTTGCTGAAAAAATCATATATATTTAGAATAGATCTGTGAAGATACAGTTTTTCAGTATTATGTTGTAGGATTTTAATAGGATTCTTTTTATGACATATTACCAAAACTAAAAGCCTGAGTAACAAAAAAGAAAGTGAACCGAATAAGATTTTGAATTATGGATATATGAATTGGGAAGTCATCGCTTTAATCATTGAGTTGTCCGATGTTGTTAGTTAGTTGTAAAAACTTTAGAATAATGATTCATCGATATAAATTGATTCTGCTATGTTTAGAATGTATTCACTAAGGGATCGATTCGTGTTACGAAGTTAAATGCACGAGAATGTCAATCGAGATATATGTCTCTAGAAGAGATTCGCTGAGGAATTCTTTGATATTAAATAGTTTGTATAACAAATCCTGTGATACAATAATGTTTTTAAAATAAAGATTTTTGAAAAAAAATCAAACCGAGGATAACTCAATTTACAGTGGACATTAAAAGTCTCGCCTCACTTTTTTGTTTTGACTCGCATTTCAAAACTACACGACATAGATTCTATTTTCTTTTTTTTTCTACGGATAGCGGAGCTCGAGTACTGTATGTATATATTTGAAATGAATAACGGTTGAATATAAAATATAGGAAAAAAAAACAAACTTCAGTACTACGAAAAAAACTAGAAAATGATATGGCTGTTATGAATTTTAGTAAGCTGCGAGTAACGCAAAACATTGAGCAAGGTTTTTATATTTTTAAATGGTTCGATAGATCTCAACAGGCTCTAGAAAATTGTTTATTTTAAAATTTTTTAAACCTTTTTCTGGGACGAAAAGTTACAAAAAACTCGCACATATTTTATTTGTTCTATACGAAAAATCGACAATTTTTCTGTTCAAAGAAACAAACATACAAATGCCAGTTTTTGTAATTTTGTGCTCCAAAAAGGCTTAAAAAACCTCTAATATAAACAGTTTTGTAGAGCTCGTCGAAATCTATCGAACCATTTGATAATATCAAAAAATAGTTTTACTCAATTTTTGCATCACTCCTACCTAACTAAAACTATTAAAACTGATAATAATCATATAATTTTGTAGTTTCGCATGTAGTTTTTTCGTAGTACTGAAGTTTGTTTTTTTTTCATTTATTTTATATTCAATCGTTATTCATTTCAAATATATACATACATATAGTACTCGAGCTCCGCTATCCGTAGAAATAAAAGAAAATAGAATCTATGTTGTGTATTTTTGAAATGCAAATCAAAACAAAAACATGAGGCAAGACTTTTGACGTCCACTGTAGACGAAAATGGATTAGACATGTTGTTCACAGATTTTGTACATGTGTGTTAGATTTATTTGACAGTGACAGTTGAAAATTTTAGTTCTTCACTATATATTTGATGGTAATCTGATTGAATTAGGCATGATTACGTGTGGTAGTTGTCCAGGAAGAGTCTTTGTTCAAGTGTAACTATAATTATTACTTGATATTTAATATTGTTTTTCATTTTATATGTCTTTTAGTGCACTTATTTTTATTATATACTTGTCCGTAAACGCGTTTCAAAAGAAGAATTACCTTCATCATCTCTTATGCTTCGACGTATTTGTAATATATTTCATGTTCCCAATCTTCTTTTTCATTCGATGTTTGGTCTTATCCTTCTTGGTGTTCCTATTGGCTTTGAATTTGCTGTTCCTTGGAAATCCAATTTAAATCCTAGGCTATTAGAAAAAGGTACTCTTAATCTAAGTCAAGCATTAGACAATTGTTTGAGTTTGGCTGCTTGGCCACCAACAACTTGTTGTGCCATTGTGAGTCTTTTACAATTCTTTATTTATATTTTTCCTCGAAAAATCATTAGGAATTTCATCAGCATTTACGGTATTTGCTGCACAAGTGTGTCACATTAAAATAATTGGTCGACTATTACCATAGTTGAACTCATTTATCTGTGAAGCTAAAAATCATGTAGCAATTCTATTTGTTTTAGAAGCTGTTGGTGACAGTGCTCTATCAGCATGTTTATCAAAAACAATTCCATTAAGCTCAGAAAACAGAACAAATATACTCGGTAGTATTCTTGGAGAATTTTTATTACTCTTAGAAACACGATATGCCGAGGGTTGTACGAGTGGTCAAGGAATCTCAGGTAAAAGTAGAATTGGTTTCTCATTTGCTATATAAGTATAAATCTATTTTCTAATTGTCAAGGTGTGACGCATCTTCTGGTGAGTTCATTCATTACCACAGAGTGTATATTTGGCGGTGGTATTATTTTTGGTTTTAGTGTTTTATTAAGTAAAACTGAATGGTTTCTTTTCAAAATCTCTAAAAGGTTAATTATTATTAACTATATTTATCAAAAAATATTCTATATTAGTTGACAAAAGTAATTTTAACCATAATAAATATTGGGCTCATTTAATATGTGAGAAAAGACGAAGTAATAGGAACAATAATTATCAAAGAGAATGAACAGTTTATGCATATGAATATAGTGCAACGTTAAAAAATACTAAAAATAAAGGAAAGGAAAATATATGTCATGTCTTGTTTTTTTGTTCTTTTTCAAATATGCATCAATCATCATTATGCTGAATTTGTGTAAGCTTATGCTCTTTCAAATAATATAAGTCTCAAAAAAAAAATGAAATGTTCACTCATTGTATTATTCATGTTTAGATATTAAATATGATAGTATGAAGATTAACAATAATCTAGCATTTTGTCTTTTGAAAAGTTCACAATAAGAATTATATTGCTGAGCTATAAATGTATTCAGAAAAGTATAATTTAGTATGCGTAGACGAAGTTACTAGATCGAATACAATTGAACAATGAAAATATATTATTTTTCATTTGAATATCTCTGTACATTTACCGTACTATGCACTTTCTTCTTTCTTTTTATTAATCTATCATTGGGTATCTATATGATTTACTTTTGGCGGAAAATAAATCATAGTAATCATGTAATTCCGCTTTTCTTTCCTACAAAATGACGTTCATCCAATAAATTCAAATGAAAGAAGTTGATGTTTATTAAAAACAAAGAAAAAAAAGCGAGACTATCACGTTGATAATTAAAGCTTATATTTATGAAAAGAATTTATTTTATTTAGATGGCAGCGTAGAAAAAAAGAATGTTCAAAAAAAAAGCAGGAAATTATATATCTCCTTGTAATCCACAAACCAAATTTACAGGAAGAGCTTTATCTAAATAAAAACAAAGTAAATGTTGATTACAAATCACATCTATTCTTACCAATTTGTTTAGGATAGCTAAGTTTCAGATTAGCCATTATTTCAATAAATTCTTCTCGTGATTTAGTTAACCTTGGATTATAAGTTTTTTCCTCAAAAATACTTGAACATGTTTGTCCTAAATAAATATTTTTACAAATTTTTCTACGAAGAAAAAATCAATGAAATACCTGTATAATCATGTGCTGGATAAACAAGATAATGATCAGGTAATGTAAATATTTTTGTTTGTATCGATGTATAAAGTGTGTCAGAACTTCCTTGTTGAAAATCAGTTCGACCACAACCACGAATTAAAAGAGTATCACCTGTAAATACAGCTCCATAATCATGCCAAACAAAACTCATACAACCTGAAATCATTTTCTTTTGTATGATTAATATCAATTATATTTGAAATTCTTTACTTACCATTTGTATGACCAGGAGTTGCTCGACATTCAAGTGTCAATGGTGTTTTATCTGATTCTCCAATTTTGATCAATTCACCATCTTTTACATAAATATCTGCTTTAGCTCCACTTTCAATCGAAAGAATACTTTTACATCCTGGAAATAATATTTTCAATTTACCACCTCCTGTTATATGATCAGCATGAACATGTGTATTGACTAAAAACGAATATGAACAATGATGACTTGTTTTTAAAAGTAGGTTTTTCAAATACCTGCATATCGTAATTTGAGTCCAAGTTGTTGAATAAGTTTAGCATCACGTTCAACAGTATCAATAACAGGATCAATAATCAAAGCTTCTTTTGTTGTTAAATCAGCTAAGAGATATGTATATGTTGATGATTCATGTTCAAATAACTTTTCAAAAATAAAAATTGAAAATATAACTTGTTATGATTTGTGAAAAAGTTGATCTTTCATTTATACTTGTCTCAAAATATGTTTAACCATCATTGGAGTTTTTTTTTATCAAACGAGAAATCAAACACTATAGTGTCTAAAATAATCAAAAGAAAACAATAAAATTAGTGATGGCACTTCTATTAAAGAAAAGACAAGCTTCTATAAACAACTTACTTCTTTCTTTCTTTCTCTGCATTCAATGCTTTTTCTGCGATCATTTATAGAGGAATTGCATGCTCCTGTTCTGTATCCGTTATTTGAATTAGAATATTCGGTACTTTTGAGGTTAAACGGAAAAAAAGCGAGTAGAACAGCAAAATATGAGTACATAATTTTATTTTGCCACGATAAAAGGAGAAAAGATTTTTTTTTTATGGAGTTAAAAAAATGCATCGTCATTGTTATGAGATTGTACTTTAATTATTCATGTTATCATTACGTCAGACACTGCTGGTCAATATTTAAAGACTATGTGTTTATAGGGTGTGGCTTGCTCACTGTCAACAATTTTCGAATCGTCAAATATATAAAATCAGTATCAAATTTTAGTGATGTTTTAATTCTAGTTTTTCTAGCTTTGCTAGGAAACTAACGGAAGAAGTGAAAGAATTGATTCTAAGCATGTTTATATATAAAGCACCTGAAAACTAAATCTTACGGAAATAAAAAAACAAGATTTTACTAATCAATTTAAATAGCGTAAAAACATCATGTGAAGTTAACACTTCAGTGACGAGATTTTGAAAGAGATACAAAACTGTGTTTTTCACACATTTGGCAAATAGAAAATTGTTTTTTCTTTAAAAATGAAATATTATCGAATTTTCTGCGTCCTTTTGTTGCCTACATACGTATGTGCGGGATAAAAATGCATTGATACATGTTTGATCTAATGATGAACTAAGCAGTTTATTTTTGATTGTAAAGTCTTTTGGACAATATTTTACTTATAGACATTTTTCTAGTAAACTTTCATATAGCCTAGAAACATTTCAGAAGTTTCTGGAGAGTAGCATGTCGGAAAATATGATGGTTCTAATTTTCGTCTACTGTCTTCGAGATGTTATGTTCTATTAAGCTGAAAACGTCTGTACAGATACTAGACACTTTTTTGGGTGAATATCTTTTTATTAAATATCGAAGAGACCGTAAAAAGTACATGCTTTTTTGTAAGAGCTACTAAAGATCACGAGAATAATATTTTTTGAAACAAAAATAACTAACTATCCCAAACACCTTATATAGTATAATATGACAAAAGTTTCCACTCGATTGCATGAAGAAGTTGGTCTGAGAAAGAAAAAGGTAAAACAACATAGTTTTCGTTAATTTGATTTCTTCTCGAATTTTTTAATGTTCAAAGACAACTTTCGGATGCCAAACGCACTCAATAGATAGATACTATCTCTGACGATACGATGGTCATAAAAAAAATTTTTTTTCAATTATGAAAGGGAGACCTCCTTAAGTAGATTCGCCGTCATTTCCGGATGATAAAATCGAAAATTTTTTGGGCTTTTAGTATAGCTTTGACGTGTTCTATGTCAAATATCATACAAATGAGGACTCTTTTGTTGCTAGTTAGTACATTCATTAAACTCATCTCTCGAAATTCCTAGCAGAAGAACTTGCATTACTTGAGGTGTCTATCTTTTGCTGTTTTCAAAAATATCGCACCGTTCGCATATATTTTCTGGAAAGAAATGTTTGGAAATTTGGAGTCTATCACAACTTTTGCTCTACTCATTGAGATCTATCTACTTTGAAACTTTCAAATATGTCTGATAAGCTGCTCGGCATAAACCTCAGAAAGGGAGAATGGTTCTAAAGCGATAATAATATTCCCTTAGGTGAGTTAGGAATTTTTTAGAGAGACTAGTAAGAATCGCTAATACTTGAAATTTGTATAGTAGATAGAGAATAGTTAGAACTACATTTTTCAAACAAGAAAGCGTTGTCAAAAATATGATTTTAACATCAATGAAAACCTTATTATCATATATTTATACTAACATTTTTTTTTAGTATATATTATAGTGAACAAAAAGTAAAAACATAAATACGACGCATAAGTAGTAGTCATATCATCGGAAAAACTTATTCTCATACCTGTATTTTGTTTACTTTTTTTTGTATTTTAATCTTTCGTTGTATCTTACCAAGTAAAAAACATATCAGCAACATCAGTATGATAATATATAGATGTAATATAAATAAAATAGTTAATGGGCATGTAGCGTAAGAATGTTGATGTTATTTAACTTACTAATAATATGCAAAAGAACTAAAAAAGAATATTACCTATGTAATAAGAAAAATAATAGGCATAAAAGAAACGAAGTTTGTTTCAATTTGATCTGGATCATTAGTTATCAAAAAATAAATTTTGAAAAGTCAAGTGATTGATTTTTACTACCATCGATTGTATTCAAAGTGACCTGTTTTTCAAGAGTTAAAGCTAAAAAATAACAAAACAAATCAACGAAGGACATATTTTGAAATAAGACAGTACCGTCAATTAATTACATTGTATGTCGTATGGGATATAATATTAATAGCGCTTCGAGAAAAACCTTTAGCCTTCTTGGTTCTAATTTATCGATCAATTAATCATATCAAAATAGTATTTTTTAATATTATATTTATTGCATATAAAACTCTGTTTGTCGATGAAAAATAGGACATTTTTTTCTTCTGTGTTAGCGTAGTTGTACACTAATTAATAAACAAATAATATTGAGCTTTTAATTGTGGTAATAGTCAAAGAAAAATATAAACATTAGACCATCTATTTCTCTTTAATTAATGTATTCATAAACTGTATCTACATGTCGCACGTTTGTGCACACTCATATCAGTATATCGCAGTAGAATGACGATCAGAAGCTAGCCAAAAGTTTGAGGTCCTGCTTAGAAAAGGTCAATTGTTTAATTTTTAGCTCATTAGACAGAGCAAAATGTTTACTCTTGAATGTACTACAATTTATTGATTTTATATTGAGATTTAAGGATATTCTATAGGTTTTTCTGAGCCCTTATACAGAAGAAAATAACGCTCTTTTTTTTTTTACAACTCTGGGTTTCAAAGTGTTTCAAGCTTTTCTGTTGACTTTTGATATTGATAGACATGACTATTATGCATCGCTAGTCATGGTAAATGAATAGAACACTCGAAAATGAGATTTTTTCACTATTATTTCACCAATATAAAATAGGCTATGAATCACTGTTTACTCATTTATTTTTCATACATTTTTCATTATCAAATTATTAATCATGATGAATACAATATGGTACTATCAATGTACATGACTTTATACATTTTTTTTTTACATAGCTGAATTTTGATTGATATTTTGGCAAGCGTAATATGTCGATATGAAAAAAAAAACAAATGTTTCTTTTAAATCCTTATATGCGTTCGTTTGATTCACTCGAATTAGTAATATATGAAAAACTACTCGAAGATTCTTTGTATATCAATTTATGGAGGAAAAAGCCTTGAAAGTTATTTTGTGTTTTTCTTGTAATATGATTTTTGGTTTTGATATTTCTATGTGTGTCAGATTTCTCCACCATTTTAAATGTTAGAGATCTAGGTTAGATGTCAGAATGGGTGTGGCTGTGAGTGTGGGGTGGGTGTTGGGTGTGGATGTATTCATCCCTTGTTAACTCACACCCACACCCACACCCAGATATCATTGTCACTGATAATGAAAGTAAGGAGATTCACATTCTTCTTGGATATGATAATGGATCGTTTAAATCTAAATCAGTATATTCTATTGACTCTATTTTTGTTCTACTCTCAATTTTACTTGCAGATTTAAACCATGATAATTGTTTGGATATGATCGTAATATATATTTCAACGTCTTCTATAAATATTTTTCTTGGATATTGTAATGAAACATTTCAAAATTCAGCAACATATTCAAATAATGTAAAATGTTTTCCAACTATGGTTGCTGTAAGCGATATTAACAATGATAATAATCTTGATGTGATCTTTGTTTGTCCATCGAAAAGTATAATCTCTACTGTTGATGGATATGGTAATAATAGTACTTTTGAAAATCAAATGAAAAAGATAAGCAGTAGTGATTTTCGACTAGTATCCATAGCTATTGGAGATTTTAGTGATGATAATAAAGTTGATTTTGCTGTTGGTAACTGTGGAAGCGGTGTTAGTATTTTTTTTGGATATAATAATGGAACATTTGCTTATCAAACAACATATTCAACGAGTATTGGTTTCAATGTAGAAGTAGTCATTATTGATGACTTCAATAAAGATGATCGACTCGATTTTCTGATATGAAAACGGTACTTTTACAAAACAAACTATGTATATAATTATTGGACTTCTGATTTGGTTTGCAATGACAGTTGGTGATTTCAATAATGATAATCAGCTAGGTGTGACTTACTGATCAAGAGAGACAAATTCTAGGTGTATTTCTTGGAGACTGTTGTGATCTCTTTCATAATCAAATAGAATTTTTCACAGGAGCTAATTCTCATCCGAATTCAATAGCTGTTGATGATTTTAATAATGATAATCAATTGGATATTGTAGTAACTAATGAAGATGTGAATAGTATAGGTCTTCTTTTAGGTTATGGAAACGAAAATTTTGCCAATCAAACAATCTTATTAAATCAGTCGGACTTTCAACCATTTTCTATAACTATTGCTGATATTGATCATGATCATTGTTTGGATATTATTGTAGCTAATCATAAAAATGAAAGTATTAGCGTGATTTTTGGTGATGGAAATGATAAAGTTAAATCAATAATTCAATATTCTATTGGTTATAGTTCTCGTCCATATTCGATAGTACTTTATGATTTTAATAATGATACTCATATAGATATAGCTGTTACTGATGATGCTACGAATACTATTAATATTCTGTTTGGATATGGAAATATACAGGATATAATTCTAAACCATTACCTCTTGTCGTTGGAGATTTCAATAATGACTTATTACTAGATTTAGCTGTGACTTTGACTGGTACTAATAATATTGGGATTCTTTCAAAACTATTTTAATAATATTTTGTTTTATCGCTTTTTGTTAACCCTTCTTTTGTTTATTTTAAACACCATTTGTAGTTCACTGTGTTTATGGTTATTTGACAAGGTAGTGTGTGTAGATACCAACTACATTTATGACATAATATACTTCTAATATTGTGACTCGGTAGTGTATATGTTAGCAACAACTTCTATCTATTTTAGTGACCAAATTTTTGTTCCCAAATATAATTGTTCAGTATCATTGTAACTGTTGTCAAAAATCTAAACGAATACAAAAAAAACCGTGAACTTTTTATTGATTATTGAATCGTTATATTATTCAATTCTTCTTAAAAATTGATACAAATATCTACATAAAAAATGAATTGAATTTTTTCAGTTACGAATGAACAAATAAAAAATTATAATTTTTTCACATTTGTAATTAATTAATTTTTTGGTCGAAATCTTACGAGTAATCCATAAGCATGAAGTGTAGCTCTTCTCTCAGTAAAAAATTCAATCTTGGAGTTTGGAATATGTGGACATATTTGTTGTTTGCCAGCTCCTATTGTTTCTGGTCCGATTTGAAAAGTAGTAGGCTTTTGTCGACATTGAAGAACGATTTGAGTTTGATAATCGGTATCATTTTCTGTTGAATGAAAATCATAGATCGGACTATATGCTAAACAACTTGAATAAGCTATAGTTGGCGATGTATAAATAAATTTTTTATCAGGAATATGTCCAGGACGAATACCTAATTTAGTACCATCAATTAATACATCGCCCGGAAGACAAAATTGACGATGTGTAAGAATTGATTGTGCAGCAATTTTTGTTGTTCCATGAAATGTTACTATCCATTTATTCCAAATATCTTGAGTTTTCATAAGAACGGGATCAATATGAAGACCTAAACGTACCCATCCACGAGGAATAACATATTTACCTTCACCAGCTTCGATAACATCATTCCATGATTGCTTATAACAATGACTACAATAGCAATTATCATGATCACGATCAAAAAATGATTTTTCCCATTTTAATGAAACAACAAATTCACGTGCAAGTGTTAGATAAGGACAATCAGATGATTTAGGCATTAATACAACTAAAAAAGGTTGACCATTTACCCAAAGACCTCTAATTTGTATACCATTCTTTGAAAGAACTTTTTCACTTTTAGTGTCTTTTGCATCATTCGACTGCCCCTTTAGTTTATCATTTGTCCAAAAACCAATCTCTTTCGTTCCATCAGCATGATAAAGTGTTCCATTTCCATTTCTTCTATTATACTTCCATAATCCTTCATATCGATCACCATTCGACCAATTGTTTACTCCATATCCGTCTCTCATGTTGTTTCCCCATTCGCCTATGTATTTTCCTCCGTCTGGATAAGTAAATGTTCCTTGACCATGTTGTTGATTATTTATCCAAGATCCTTCATATCGATTGCCATTCGCCCATATATTTTTTCCTTGACCATTTCTCATATCATCTTCCCATTCACCGATGTATTTACCTCCATTAGCATAAAATAACGTTCCTTCACCATGTTTCTTATTATCTTTCCAGTTTCCTTCATATCGATCTCCATTACCCCATGAATTTACTCCATAACCATTTCGTAAATCATTAGCCCATTCACCTTCATATTTACCTCCATCTGCATAATATAAAGTTCCTTCTCCATTTTTCATGTCATTTTCCCAATCTCCTTCATATTTGTCACCATTAGGAGATTTTATCACAACCATTATAACTGTTTCGACGAATGATTATGTAACTGAGAGTTCAGATGGAGTTACAGTGTTAAAGTAAACAAATAATAATCAATCGATTTTTGTTTTTTCAGGATGTTAGAATTGGAATAATTTTAATAACAAAAAAATATAGATTTTATGTCTACAAATATGAAGTATATTCTTATATGTATGTATAGAAACTTCCAATATGTCTCAATTTCAATGAATATACGATTGCATTGTGTTGCAATTTCACACAGTCATAATTTTCTCGTTCTTTAACTTCCGTTCTTTAACTCATTTCTTTTCTCTTTATTTTATTCTGTGTTTTTATTTTATATAGGTTTATACTTTTTTTTTGTAACAATAAATTTACTTAAAACCACTCACCTAATAAACTCATTTATTTTATAGATCTGACGAATTTTTAAAACTATGTTCTATACGTTTTGTTTATAAATACAAAAGAAAATTGAATCTATCGTACACGTGGATCGACAAACTTTTTCTGATAAGAAATTTTGTGTTCTTGTAGGTAAATAATAAGCAAAAAAAATGCAAGCAAGCTGCTGACAAGACCATCATGGTATTGCACGTCATTACCTAATGACATTTGTTTTCTGCGTCTTCGCTTTTAACATGACTGCTGTGTCTGTATGAGAGTGAAAAGTTGATGAGAACAAATGATAAAAAGTTGTCTAGTCGATGAAGTATCCAGAAGTATTTCTAGATGTTTATGACAATTATTTCATCTACTTAAAAATTAATATTATTTAACTATATTTAGAAAGTGAATTATTCTACAAGAATCAGCTACAGAATTCAAGAATTCTGAATATTATACGCAAAAAAAACTCAAAAATTAAAGAATAGGAAAGTTCTAAGTTCAATCCTGATGTCATCAAATGTTTTTTTTGCATTCAACAAATGATTTTTCTTTATTCAGAAAGAGCAAGTTGAATATAAAAGATAGAACATAGAGTGGATTATAAATAAGAATAGATAAAAAAAATAAAATGGGCTTATATTTAATAACTATGTATGGATAAAAATGTGTAAATGCTTCTGAACTGAGATGTAAGTTTTTCACGATTTTCTCGACTCAAAAGCATATTTCGACAAATTTAAAGACAGATTTAGAATTAGCACGAGCAATTTTATCGAATAATATATAATTTGTTAGATTTTCGAATTGAAAATTTTTTGACAAAAAATGTCGCGTTAGAGTTCCCTTCAGGCGTTTTTCGTCACAATCTTTTTGTAAAATTTCGCTTTTTTCGTCAGTCATTTTGTTTCGAACAGTAGAAACCAACATTTTTTCGGAAAGAATACGATTTTGACAGAAAATGAGTCATGTCCATACGCTCTATAGAATTTGATCACTGTTTTTTGGACTTTGGAAACAACTCCATAGGATAGAGCACAGGTGAAAACCTGTAAGAAACGTGTTTTGAGTGTATCCGAGTGTTTTAAAACCCAATGACCACGTCCCTATCAAAAATTGTCCACTAGGCCTAAGCTATCGAAGCATATCGAAGTTTGATTGGTAAGAAATCGATGAATCAGCTAAATTCTTAATGGAGATTTTCGAAAACGATATTGTATAGCCACTTTCGTTTCAATTGATTGAAGGCCAACATTCTTAGCCTGTTCCGTTTGAGAATTAAAAGGCTTTTCAGGAGACACTCGATTTCAGCCAACTAGCAGGTGATCACCCGAAAAAGCAACTAGACAAATGTAAATCATTGTGCAGAGTCGAACAGTAATATGTTTTAAGGTTAGAAATCATCTAACTTTACTATGTCAACACTTCTGCAACTCCACCATCAGTCCTCGTGTAACGAAAAAGTCAACATTTCTAAAATATTGAGATGACAGCATCAGAGATTTTCTAACCTCAAAAAATGTATTCATGTTCGGCTTTGCATGATAAATTATCTCTATTTGACTGATTTTACGAGTAATCACAGGTCAGTTGGCTGAAATCAGGAACCTCAGGAAAAGTCTTAGAACTTTACAACGAACAAGCCAACGTTGTTCAGTGAAATCGAAACTCTTGAACATTCTATTGCTTTTTGGATTTATTTCGTGATGTTTATGTTATTGATTTGTTGTGCTATATTATTTTCTACACAATTTATATTTCAAATGTAAATTGAGATTAAACATAAAAAAATCATATTATTATGGTCGTACTGATTTGCAACTATTTCACAGGTAAATAATACTAAATAATAAAAGTAGAAATATATTAACTCGAAAATCTCTGTAAAAAATACCTTTTCTTAACTTCAGAAAAGTACCGACTGGGAGTTTTTCCTATGTAAAATCGGCAAAGCAGGAATTTTTTTGATCTACTGAAATATCTTATTAGATTCATTTTATTGATAATTAGTAATAATTGTTGAAATCTATATAATAACCTATGATGCAAAAGTAATGGGACAAATCTCAGGCTCTATTTCTCTTCGTTGGAAGCATGCTAAACGAAACTTGTTTTACCAAAAGATAGAGCTTTTTCTTCTCTTTCGAATCATATATAAATTATTTTTATAAAACTTTCATAGACGAACCAACGCAACAGACTAGATAAACATCCTTAAAAAGCATCCGCACTTTTTTTTATAAAAACTGTTCAAAATGTCGATCCTGAAGTCTCTTTGATAAATAGATTCTGAAAAGAAAATTTATTCATCAGTTGATAGGCATTTTCTCGTCTTTCGAACAGTGTATAATTCATATTTATCAGACATTGGTAAGTGAAAGAACACGAAAAAAAATGAGAAACACTTACACAATAACTTTATAATTTTTATATGAACTCATCAAAAACATTTTGTAGACAGTAGTTAAGGGTTGTGTGGGTGTGGGTAGGAGTGTGTAGGTGCGGGTGAACTATAGACTCACACCCACGCGAACATCCTCATTCATACCTCGCACCCCACAACCTCACCCACACCTACCCTAGTACTCAGCTCTCTGCAACGTACGAAGAAAATTTTTACTTAAAAATATTCCAAATAGATTAGGAATTAGTCATTTAACATGTTCTCGCTCAACGACATCGAAATTGTGTAGTTTGAAAACTAACCCCATTGATGGTATCACTTTTTCGAAAAACAGACATCAGTGTATTACCTAAAAGCTAAGAGATCTTTTCTTCTCATTTAAATAATGCACTATTTCATAGAAGAACAATCTCCTTTTCCCGTTGCGTAGA